TCGAGCACAGCTCTTAAATGGACGATGTGAATTTACCCATCTGTCCTCCCGTGATCCGCACGACTGTGGACGAAGATGTCGTCGAAGTATGTCGGTGCATACGACCGATGGGACCTGAAAATTTACGCCACAAGACGATTAAATGTTGCTGGTGCATTATTCAGCCCTTGGGGCATCACCAGCCACTCCCGGAGCATGCCGCAAGGAATACTCACCGCTGTTAGTGGAACATCGCTGGCTCTCATGAGCAATTGGCAATAATCATCGACCAAGTCGAGTGCGCTGTACTTTGTACAGCCAACCATATTGTTCTAGGGAACACTCATTCTAGGAATCGGCGACTATGCCAAATTGGTGGCAGCATTTAGCTAATTGTAAGTGTGAACGATACGCCACTTTTGTTCGGCTTCCGGACACAAAACGTCAAATGGGTAAACTTAATCTCACGCACAATTTCTGAGTCGAGCTTCGCACGAAAAAGGCGTCAATGACGTCACAGTGTTCTTTGCGCAGGGGCTATTGGCGTGTTATATCTGGTTCCCGGAAACAAGTCGATCACATGACGCATACCTCGGTCCGGATGTAGAACCGACGGCGGGTCTTTGGAGGCGACGTCTTGAAATCCTTTACCAAAGAATTTTTCAGGATCAACGATTAACTTCATGCGTTCAGCACCATCTTAGTCCAGCTTCACTCAGAAGCGACGGCGAATTGGTCCCCTCGTTCGGTTGTATAACGACCATCGAGACTGAATCGTCCACGTTCAAGGCACCGCCAAACGCTTCAAACGACATCTTGTTCGGCTCAAGACCAGCATCCATCGCGGAAATAGCCTCGAGGGTGACGTCGCCGGTTTACTCTCCCGTCAACCCGCTGATAAGGGTATATAGCTGTGCGCTATCGTCTACGGTAGACACACCCTGGGTCAGGGTCGACGCCTTGCGTCTTGCAGATATCATATGGCTTCACTGTCTCCTCTCTCAAGAGGTTTTACACCACATCGAGACCAGTGGGCACACGCACTCGGTGTCGTCCAGTGTGCTTCACCGGAGCCTTGACGTTATTAACAATATTCGACGAAGAGCCGCTATATCTGCAGTTTTCGTAAAGTGAATAACGTGCCACTCCATGCACAATCAGAAGGGCCTTGATCAGGATGCCTCGAACCTCGTCCGACCATGCCATTCTTGGCATGCACCAACTGCTTCGAAACGTGAGCAGAGCTCAGTGGACTACGTGCCACCTCACGCGCATCTCAAGGGCCTCACCCTTGATGCCTTGGCCCTTGGCCGACCATGCCACTCATGGCATGCAGCAACTGCTCCGATACTTGAGCTCAGTGGATTACGTACCACTCCACGATTTGCCCGCGAACCATGCTTGGGAATCTTGTCAAAAGCACCTTTGGTGTTTGTGTTTGACAACTCGGATACTCCGACATCCTCCATATTGACCATCCCTGTTCAGTGCCTGCGCAAATAGCGCTTCTGCTGACTAGCAGAGGTGGGTTCATGACTCACCAAAGATCCACCAGGAGACATGCGCGTAGCGCCCAAGGTCCTCGACCTTCAGTCAATCCATGGCTCATGGTATTTCATCCATGCCATACCAAGGATAAGGTCATACCTTGAATCCAAGTCTAAGACTAAACAGTGTTCCACGCTATCAAAGTCAAGAAACTTGACACCGAGGTCCACAGGGACCCTCGGCAAGTCCCTGTCGCTAAGCGAACAGTTGTGATGTCACTTAACCGCGCCTTCAGCACATCAGTATACAGATGACTTCATTCGATGGTGAAGCGCCGAGTGTAATTGCCCGACAGCCCAGAATCGACAAGGATTTTTCATGGCTTCTCATAGCCCTTCACGGTCGCATTTACGACCAGCAAGCCCAGCTTGCATACGTGTTCAAGAGCACGGAGCTTTTGGGGGGGGCTGGGCTCTGCTGCCCTCTACATCTTTGGGGCACAACATAACTCAGTTCTTCCCCAGTAGGATGCCCGCGCCTACTGAGTTTTGACGTTACCCTGCGACAAACTAGACTGGTTAGAAGCGAAATGTCGGTTCAACGAATCTTTACGCTCCTAGCGCAGCGAACAACAATTACGAAGGTGACGAGTGTCTCCACAGACAAAACACCGTCACGCCACTCGGCAGCTCGGAGCTCTCCCTCCTCTTTCTCAGCATAGCTCAGATCCATTTGCACAGGCCCGCTCGACGAGTTCTGAGAGTTTGCATTCCAACCAAGTTGTGCCGACTTAAAGAGGAAGTCGGCATTCAATTCCGATGCACACAGAACTATTCTGGTCACGCCAATGCGGAGGCCCTCCATAACGACGGTCACTGCGACCGCCTCGGGGAGAGAATTGGTTGCCATCCCGTCAGCGAGAAAACTCTTAGACAAAGTCCACCAACTATTTGTAATGCTGTCGGGCAGCAGGGAAACGCGATTGCACGCGATATGCCTGATAAGGCAGCGTGAACACTCGTGAAAGCTGCAGTTCTTGCTTCTTCCAAAAACTCAACGCAGCTTCATCCGAAGCACCGCACATTAGTGCCCATTCACGCGCTCGGCCATCGAGCTTGGAGATAGCTAGCGCCACGCGCTGTTGCTCGTTTCGGAGCAAGGTGGATGTCATAGTCATCTCAGCCTCTCTTAACCAGAGCAGGAGATTCTGTCCATCCTTATCATTGATGGTCTCGACGCTCACCATGAGCGGCCTCGGTTGGAAGGAATCATTCGTTGTCGACGGTGGCGTCATAGACGCAGTTGACGCCGATAGTTTCTGCTGTAAGTGCTCTAACAGAGCATGTTCATAATTTGAAAATGCCTCTAGGCGCGCGCTCAAAACCTCGGGCTCTTGCGCAGCGAGGTGCTCCACGCTCTCAGGGCTAAGCAGGGACGTAAGCTTATTAAGCCCGTCCTGCATGCCCTGGGGCAAATAGGAGTATTCTTCCATCCTCACATCAGTTCAGTCGTAACAACTCAGGCGTAGATTGACTACGAGAGCTACCAAATGCAGCGGAGCTGCCGTAGCTCTTTGAATAGAGGAAGCTCAGCAAAAGTCACCGACCTTACGTTTCTATAAGAACCACTACGAGTGCAGCGGATCGCAATCTGCTGCTTCCAAGAAAACTGAAAACCTTAACCAAGGTTAGTGAACTCTTCCGTTCAAAATTGAAACTGTATCTAATTGTTTTAGTTGCGGCAGAGCCGCCAATATCTAAAACTCTATGTTTTCCTAACTGATATAGTAATACCTAATTTACATAGTAATAGTAATTACTACTGGCGATCCTGCCGCGTGGTGGCTTCTTGTTACGGTGTAGCCACACCACTGTATAATTACACCAACTTGTGTATTTCGCACCTTTGCACGGTCACATCATCTTGTGCGACCCACCCTATCATACCAGGTACGTATAACCCCGTTACAGTATGAGTGTAGCGGATCGCAACCCCCTACCTCCAAGATTACACAAAACCTTAACCCCAAGCAAATACACTCTTCGTTTAATATCTAGACTGTATTTCGTTTGTTTTATTTGCGGCAGAGCCGCTTATATCTAAATCTCTAGATTCTCCTGTTTGAATGGTAAAACCTAATTGAAACGAATGCTACTGGCAGTCCCGTGACGCAGTGGTTTTTTGTAAAGATGTAGTCATACCATTGTGTGGTCACGTCATCTTGTGTGACCCACCCCTTTATACCAGGGGAAGTGTAACCCCGTTACACAGGGGCGGTAGCTATTGTCATTTCCATTTTGGGTGAAAAGGTGCGGTACGCACCGAAACTTGTCGCGTCCACACAGACGTTTTGGGGAAGTTGGTCTTAGCAATCAGTGTGGATTACAATCTTCGTGTTGCGAGGATCAAATAGGAAGCTTAAGGCCTTACGAGTGTAACAGATGTGATGGACGTTACATATGCTGGGATCAAAGAGAGAGGTATCTTTTAACTGCTGAGCAGCTCCGCCTACTCACAGAAGTTACATCTGCGGTCATTCGGAATATCTGCGCCTTTCGTGATCTTCCTTCGCTCGGCTGAGAGGTACTTAGGGTTTGGGTTTTATGCAAGGGCGGACGACGAATCCCTCACTGGAAGCCATCAAGTCCCAGTAGGCGTGGGGTGAACTTCTGAAAGTGGGTTTCATTACATCTCGTGAGGGTCATGATCAATGAGTTTCAGCTGAATAAGAACGCGACTCTTCCTAAGAGTGGTTGGGCCCATAGCACAATGTTGTTGCCTCAAATATTAACATCCTGATCTTTGTGAAGCTGTGTAAAATGCTAGTCTACTCAATGGATCCTTCAATTAGATATGATGCGTAAAAATAGTAGACAGAACTCAGAATGTCGAAATTTGTGCGTCATGCAACGCGAACAAAGGTGCATATGTCAACGGGTATGGATAGATTGGGGCATTAATTTATACAAGAACTTTATTTGAGATATGACTTCATCTAAGGTATGGCGTGGCTGACACACTATGATATCTGATAGAATAGAAATTGAAATAAAATGTCGAGTCCTTTTCTCCCACTACACATGTGTGAGCAAATATCAACTATATATCCTGCATAATTGTATATCCTTCAATACTGTGATATCAGAATTGAATCGACTTTTCAAATCAATTACGAAAATTAATGGCTCGCTGGAAGTGAGCAACATGCGGTGAAGCGTATCAACTAATTGAAGTCTTTCTAAGTCAATGCGCATAAACTGCACTTGTTCGCAATCTTCACATACAAGTATTCAATGTCAAATTTTCGTTTCACCATCTTGCAAGTCCTTGCACATATCAAGGATGGGAGAAAGATAAAGATGTGTGTTTTAAAACTCAACCAAATGTTTATTCTTAAACTCTGGCTTTATACTTCTTGCGAGATTTTCTTCGAGTAACTTTTGTGGTATAGATGAGTATTGGGTACGCACGTGATACTTCGTCACTATGTATGTCTCCGGCTCGCATATTTCGATTTGGATCAAGACTCAAACATGAGTGTCCGTCTCCTTCTTGCTCTGGTCTTTGCCATCAATCTCCATGTTAGCAGTATGGCGCTTTCCTCGGTCAATGACCTTGATCGTATGAAAGCGGGGAATGCGACGCAAAGTACTAGCACAGATTATGGTAATGAAGAACGTGGTATGGCGGGGGTCGAAGCGGTAACTGAGGCTGGCAAAACTCGAATTCTGGGGTTCAAAGCCCCAAAGTGGTGGGAAAAATTCCTCAAACAGATCATGCCGACGCTCCGTGACCGCGTATCTCGATTTTTTACTTTCATCAGAAAATTAGTTTTTGGTGAAAGTAAGAATGCAAAAGCTGTCAAGAAAAACTCAAGTGTGAAGACCGTTGAAATCAAATCTGATCCACCTCCAGTTGTTGCGCCAGTCCTGCCAAAAAAACCTCCTGCTTCTGCTCCTGCTTCTATTCCTGCTTCACCTCCAGTTATTGCGCCAGTCCCGCCAAAAAAACCTCCTGCTCCTGCTTCTGTTCCTGCTTCACCTCCAGTTGTTGCTCCAGTCCCGCCAAAACAACCTCCTGCTCCTGTTTCTGCTCCTATTTCTTTGGAATCATCGGCATCAAATCCCCCGCCAGTGTCGTTAAGCAATCGTGATCGCTATAAAAATCTTATTACAAGGCTGCGTGATGGAATATTGTCAAGCACTCCGGTATCAAAGGAGGGAGATGTTGCTAAAAGTAATTTACAAGGAGTTGTGAACGTGTTGCCTTCATTGACAAAGTCAGCGAAGAAGCCACTCGAATCTGTGCCAAAGCCAGCGGAGAAGCCACTTGTTCATGTGCCAAAGTCAGGCCCTGATGAGACTGTTTCAGCGAATGGTGACAGTTGGTCTACACTCCTTAAATGGGACAATAAGCAGCCGGAAAAGGCAACCACTTTGGTGACGAAGGAGGGAGATGCTGCTGAAAGTTTTTCACAAAGAATGACGAACTTCTTTCATTCGTGGCTATTTGAATCTGTGCCAAAGTTAGGCCGTGATGAGACTGTTTCAACGAAGTCTTCGCTCTTCAATTGGGACAAAAAGCAGCCGGAAAAGGCAACCACTTTGGTGACGAAGGAGGGAGATGCTGTCGAATCTATCGAAAATCCTGCAAGCTTTGTTCCAAGAATTTCAAATCAAATGAAGTCAGCGGAGAAACCGCTTCCATCGACGGACAATATCATTGATTCGAAAACGCTGAGGTCAGAATCACAACGCATACCTGGTGCCAACCCTCCCGAGATGAAGCCAAACGATATTGAACATAATTAGTCAGTGAAGCTGCTCTGATTATCCGTGAAGCTCAAAAAACACGGCTGTCGTATATGAGACATACCCAGTGTAGCCCAGCGACCCACAGTTTCACAAATAGGCACAAGTTGTTCATAATATCTTGAGTAAAAGTCTGCGTCTTGAGATCTAATTGTGCTAGGACAGAGATTTTCTGCTTTTATATTTTGGAAATCTTCTATCTCACTCATGAAAGCCTGCAAGAAGAGGCAGAAGATCACCGTTTGTACCAGCGAGAGGAAGCACTCATTCATAAACTGAGGATCAAATCTCTAAAACATGGCACAGATAGGCTATTGTATCTCATCAATTTTGTGTGAAATGACAGTGTGGGATATCGAGAATAGGCTCTCAAGTACTTAAAAGTCCAGTACAGTCGCCACCCGCTTAAGTACGCCCTCGTTTAAGTACGCATCCCAGATATGTACGCAATATCTTTTGGAAAAACAGTTTCAACT